GGAAATCATTGTATGCGGGAAAGAACATGAGCTTTTTCCAGAGGCATTGGCTTCGCCTTAACAGGTGAAACTTAGGGATACAAATCACATCTGCAAAATACCAAGATCAGCAATGAGTGTTAGAGACTGAAATCCAAAGGTTTAGGGAATGAAATCATTGAACACACTCACATCATCGACAATTCTATGGACCATCATCGATGTTATTGAAAAAGAAGCCTGGTGGTCTTCGAAAGGAATGAGTGGGTATGCATATTGGAACATCTAGAGGAAATGTATTAGGAAGATGCAGCCTTCAATCGATACAGGAAACAGTGTAAGAAGTATAGTAGGTGGAAGAAATGCATTGAAGGATAGGAACAGTGAACCGAAGACAATGTAAAACAGAAGCCGCAAGCTGATGAATAGTAACCGGCTTAGCCGGTTACAGTTCATAAGTCTAATGTCTTTTAATATTATATACTTCCTCCATCCCAAAATTATTGTACACAGACAAAAAACACACAAATTAAGGAAATATTAATTATCTCTAACTTTATTAAATGAAATGACAATTGTACCATTTTTATTTTAATCTCATCCTTTTATTGCATTTAATTTCATGGTAGGTTAACTAATAATGATAGGTATTTTGGTAAAAATGATATTTATTTTTAGAAGTAGACTGTTATTTTGGGACAAACCAAAAAGGAAACATGGACTATTAATATGGGTCGGAGGGGGTATAATTTCAACCATACGAACTTCATTACAAAAAAGGTGGTTCTTCCCATGATGAAAACTATTTAATATATATACATATTAGGGTTATTGCTATAAAAGCTCCTAAATTTACATAAAATATCCAGTTATGCCCAAAGTCTATTTTTTGGTGCATTAATGCCCTAACATACCGGAAAACTTGTTCAATTTAACCCATTTCCCGACTAGAGCCGGTAACCAAGTTTTAAGAGGCGATGACTTGTTGATTGGGTGTGTTTGCTGGCTGCCACGTCAAGTCCTCTTTCCTTACTGAATTTTTTTGAAATAAGAAGAAGAATTGGAGCTAGGAAGAATCAAACCTAGGTCTCCTCGCTTTACTAGTAGACTAGAAGAGTTTGTCTGAAATGTTTCCCATAATATTATATTTTAATATCTATCATGCTGGTATGATGATGATGATGATGATGATAATAATAATAATAATAGTAATTGTAAAAACTTTCAGTTGTTTACACATTAATATAGGAAAAAAAAGTTTAAGTAATAACGTCAAAAGCCTTCTGGCCTAGTGGCATGTGATGTGGTTTACAAGTTGGAGGTATTGAATTCGATTGCCCCTACCCACGTTTTTGTTTTTCCAGATAAAAGGAAGGCATGTGCAGACACCACGTCAGCTCGACGAGTTTCCACCTCAACATAAGCCAAAAATGATCGATTGTGAAGAGGAAACCGGCTATAAGGTAAAAGTGAACATAAGTTCTTAAATATTGAGCATTAATGAACAAAAAATGGATATTGGGTATAACCGAATATTTTATGTAAATTTGAGGGCTTTTATGTTAATAACCTTTATGCCTTCCTAAAATTCAATTTTTTTTTCAGAGAAAGGGGAGTTAGGACGCCACATCAGCTCGACGAGTTGTCACCTCCAGGTAAGCCAAAAATGACTGATTGTTAAGAGAAAACCGGTTAGAAGGTAAAAGTAAACATAATTTTTTAAATGTCGGAAATTAATGAACAAAAAAAGGATATATATTTGATATAACCAAATATTTTATGTAAAATTGGGGTTATTATTTCATAACCCTACATATTATAATCATGTGACTTCTTTTCATGAGGCCCTACATATTATCGACATGTGACTTCTTTTCATGATGCTAAATTCAATGTATAAAGAATTAAATATAGGACTAGTTTTGAAAAGTTCTTCACAAAAGTCTTTCCATCATAAAGAGTAGTCATTTCTTGAAAACTTGTTAATCGATAATGATTTCAAAGTATAGCTTGTTGTAGTGAGAAAAAGCAATTACGTATCAAATTTGTCATTTCCTATCAAATTTGTCATTAAGGAAATTCAATCAGTATATAGTATTTTAAAAACTTGATAAGACGTAAACTAATTGGTATATATTAGAAAGTTTTCATATGAAGGAGATGAGAGGAAATCTGTACATGTTACGGAAATTTTGTTCATCAAATATAGATAATGTTTTGAAATACTATATTAGTGTTAAATATAATTAAATGCAAAAAGTTCATATTATAAAACTCGTTAGTTTGTGCATATCTTAGACTAATCTTAGACTAAGGTTGTGATGGTTGTTTTGTCAATAGTAAAAGTGAGATATGAGATTTTATTATTTTTGCCATAATTTGTCTATGAATGGGATGTGGTTATATTTTTATCTTTGAAATAAAAAAAATATAAACTTAAATTTGCAATGACCCATCAATATTTAGAATGGAAACAAAACGTCCAAACATTCACAATTTGCCATCGGTTAAAGTTCATCATTGAGATTTGCCACCGACAAAAAAAATATCGGGGGCGCTGTTCACAGCCGCCAAAAGTGAGACATAAGCTTTGCAATCGGCAAAAGCCCTCCCACACTGTTTAGTCGTCGGTTAGTTTTTATTTATTTATGAGTTCATCTAATTCTAAAACAAATTTTATTGTTAAGTAAAACAAAATAAAATACATAATAATTCATAATTTTTATTGTTCTTCACAATAGACAAATATTGTTATATTTTCATATATTTTAATAATCCTAAAAATAATAACAGTTTATTTTGTTTTACAATAAAATGTTTTCTTATAAAATTAAAATTAAAAAAATGATAATAAATAATAGGGATATATACTGTAAAGTCTCAATATTTTCATCGATTTGACAAGAAAGTCTTAAACTTTATTTTTTTGACAGTAAAGTCCAAATTACCGGCACTTTTTGACACTTTTACTTTTTTTTTTCCGGTTAGCCGGTAATTATGACTTTTTTGTTAAAAAAATAAAGTTTAGGACTTTCTTGTCAAATCGTCAGTTAGGATTTTACTGTCAAAAAAATTAAGTTTAGGACATTCTTGTCAAATCGTTGAAAATATTGGGACTTTAGTTTATTTTCGTAACCCAAAAACTTTTAATTGTGACTTTTGTTGCAACACCACTGTTTTTCTTACCATCATCATCTTTACTCTGACACAATCACGATCAGGAGAAACATATGCAACAGAGAGAGCGAGAAATGGTGAAAAGACTTGTAAAACTTTCTTTTTGATTCGCCACCAAATCTTGAACTAAAAAGTGGGGACAGATTATACAAACACAAACAACACATGCCTAGTCAAAAAGGTGTGAATGTGGAGAAGGGAAAGAAGGACAATTTCGTTTTTTTTTTCGGTTTCTTGTTTCTCCATTTTTGTGACTACAAAAAGCCAACACAACCTTGGTTCTTTCTTTCTTTCTTTCTTGATTATCTCCATTTGTTTCATTGTCGGTTTGTTGAGATTAAAAAATGATTTAACAAGAAGCAAACGTTAAGGATTTCAATAAGATCTAGCTGACTAGAGAACATTTCAATAACTCTTATGCTTAAAGAGTATCATACCATTAAATTTCTAACCAAAAAAGGATATATACACTAAAGTCCCAATATTTTCAACTATTTCACAATAAAGTCTTAAACTTTATTTTTTTGACAGTAAACTCCTAATCGACGATTTGACAAGAAAATCCTAAACTTTATTTTTTTTGACAAAAAAATCCTAATTACCGGCTAACCGGAAAAAAAGGGTAAAAGTGTCAAAAACTGCCGGTAATTTGGATTTTACTGTCAAAAAAATAAAGTTTAAGACTTTCTTGTCAAATCGATGAAAATATTGGGACTTTAGTGTATATATCCCTAAATAATAACATTTTAAAATAAAAGGTCGTATTTGGTTAGATTGCAATAAACTAACAAAGAGAAAAATGGTTGAGTTTAATATGTTAAAAACAAAATATTTTTTTTAATAAACGATTGGGCTTAGAGCTGTAAATGAACCGAACGTTCAGCGAACTGTTCGTGAACCGTTCGGCGGAAAGTTCGTTTATGTTTGTTTATTTAATAAATGAACGAACATGAACACAAATTCTCGTTCGTTTAGTTAAACGAACGAACATGAACAATGGTCTCGTTCGTTTAATTATGTTCGTGAATGTTCGTTTACGTTTGTTTGTGTCCGTTCATATAAATTCCTTTTTATATTCATATATGCTTAATTGTATTTGATTGCATTACGATATTATATGTTCATTTATGTCCATATATGTTCGAATTATGTTTGTTTATCTTTGTTCATTTATGTTCGTTCGTTTATATGTTCGTTTAGCATGTTCACGAATATAAAAGAACGAACATGAACAATGCAATTTATTAAACGAATGAACATGAACAAGAAAACTCGTTTGTTTATCCATTCGTGTTCGTTCATTTGTTCGGCTAACTTAAACGAACGAATATGAACAAGCCTCGTGCGTGTTCGTTCGGTTCGTTTACAACCCTAATTAGGCTTATCTGGTTTGTTGATAATTATAGTTTTAATGTTTTCCTAATTTGTTAGGTGAATAACATAATATTTCGGAATAGATTATGATTGTTTTCTATTGTGTTTGAAGTATATCGAAGTAAATTCAAAAGATGTTCTGCAATACAACAAATAATAAGTGATAATGAAACCGAATTGGTATGGTAATATAATTTATTATTCATGTAAACCGAATTGGTAACATCCAAAAACATAATACACATAGAAAAGATTATAGATACATTCTTTATCTCATGTCACTTCAAAAGAAACATGAATGACCACATTCCCCTCCTAATCCTGATCAACATCAAAAACTATATTAAAAAGTTAAAAGTAAAATTAGATTTATTCTTTGGAACAAACATTCTTGTATTATTAACACTTACACTATCACATGTCTACATACATTTGTAGTATGTAAGCTATTATAGGAAGGAAGTGGAAGAGGGGCTTATAACTTATAACTTTGCATACTTCTTAAAATTTTGAACAACATCTTTAGCATTATCTGGCACAGGCAAGTTTGTGACAAGAGTAACCCTTGATGTCGATATAAGCAATCTACTTTCTGGGTTATGAGGATCAATCTTCCATAGCCTCACCTCCCATACCTGTTCCAATACTCATGATCATGTCACATATAATTTGCTTTTTCAGGTTTCAAGTTATCATGAAATTATCAAGAAAGAAGAAAAAATGAAAAACCTGAATGGTTTTGCCAGCTTGGAGAGGCGTGGCTTCAGCAAAAACAAGATCGCCGATGTCAGCCCGTTTGAGGTGGTTGATGCTGAGCTGTACTCCGGCGATTCTCTTGAATCCTGACGCTATGAATGCTCCCGAACTTGCCAGCGACTCTGCTATTAACGCCGATACTCCGCCGTGTAACACCTTAAACGGCTGATTGTTGGAGTAGGATTCAGATTTCAGTTTTGTGTTTGGGAGAAGATTGAAAAAGTTAATATCACCTGACATGACTTATCGGTGACTTGAAGATGACCGGTGACTTTGTGTGGTGTTAACTCGTCGATCTCAAAGCCGAATGCATGCAGCGGGGGATCCAAAGATTTCGTCTTTGGGTTTGTCGTTGGTGGTGAAGGTGAATCCATGCCGGATTTTGTCGGGAGTAACGAATTGAGGTTGGATCGATGTGTAATCGAATCGGAGAATCAAATTGAGAAAAATTGATGAAAGATTGCTGTGGACTTGTCAGAAAGATAGGGTGTGTGTGGTGTGTGGATATTGTTTTACAGTGGAAGAGTCAAGAGAGGTTAATTCGTTAGTTTCTTTTTTCCACATAGAAAAGCAATCGATGAACAGAGAGGAGCAGAAAGACACGACGGCGCCGGTTAATGAATGAAAGAGAAGTAGAGAGAAATCGAAGAGAAGCAGTGGTTTTGAGAAAGCTGGTTTGGTGGGTAGAAATAGGGTAATTTGCAAGGGAAACTCACTAATTCTGTTTTTCTTCTCTTTTTTTAATAACATTACCAAACATTTAACTTTTACTGTTATATACCGTATATAAATTGTCTTCTTCAAAATATTTAATTATAATTTACGCATTATTTTAGAAAATTATATAATCAAATTATATCCATGTTTTTGAATATATGGCAAAGTAGTTTGAGAAAAAAAACAAAAATTGTCCACGTTGTTGTCTTTTTTTTTTGTGGTTTATGTTAAAAAAAAGTTTGTATTTGTATCTGTAACACCCGTTTTGTAGGATGGATCGATGGTGATCTGAAGGAGTCAAATGTTTGGTTTTTGAGGATAAATATTTGCAACAATATGGTGTATGGATATCCACGACGTGACATGACTTCCGATCATCATGTTTTTCTGGTGAGCACCATGACGTGGCAAGTAGTGTGCCACGACATGGTGGTTCTGGCAGCCCAAAACCATGATCTTTTAGGTTTTTTTTCCGTATTTAAAGCCTCTAACTCAAAGTTTAAGGCATCCTCTTCAGCCTCCAGCATCCCAAAGTGAAACCCTAGCCTACTTGAAGTTTTTGGAGCTCATTTTTGCAAGTTTGGGTGATTTTGAAGGAAGGAGAAAGTTTGGTGCATAGATCCAACAAGCAATCCATCCTCATCCTTGTGTGCGTCCTCTGGACTCTTTGTAGGTCCTAAAGTTCCAAATTTTTTTTCTGTCATGCTTCTAGATCTAGGCTTTTATGCTTTATTCTTCATGTTTGGGGTAGTTTGAGTAATTGGATTCCATAAAGTTGGCAACTTTATGTATCCTTGGGGTGTAACACCCGTGTTCCGATAAGGTTTAGTTTTATTCTCTAGGTGTAAAGATGGAGTTTTTGGGAAAAAATCTATGCCACCACGTGGAGCAAGGATGCCCACGATGTGGCATTGAACAAGTGGCACACGTATTTATTGAACCACCACGGCGTGGCCAAGGAAAGCCATGGCGTGACAACTGATCAGGACCAAGCCCATGACTCTTTTAGGGTTCCGTTTATATTTAAGCCTCTCTAACTCGGTTCTATGGTTCATTTCTCAACCTCTATCCCATTCAACCTCATATAAACCCTAACTGTTTCCCTCTTGGTGGTTTTGGCTCATTTTGGGTGGTTTTGGTGCTTTTGGGGAGGAAGTGAGGAAGAATTGGTGCAAGGATCAAACAAGCAACACTTTATCATCTTGGTTATCACCTTCTTGACCATTTGTAAGGATTTAAGTCTCTATCTTTTGAGTCATTCTCTTAAATCTAGGTGGTTTTGGTCCCTTTTTGGTTCATTGAGTTGAGTTGAGTGAATGGATGGAATAAAGTTGACAACTTTATTGCTCCCTAATGTCCCTTGAGCATCATATCTTATGGATCTGGAGTTCTGTTGTGATTTGTGAATCTTACATAAGTTTTAGGTCATTTCTTGCCATTTGACCTAAGTGGAGTTAAGGACATGCATGAGTCATGAATGTCCACCAAGTATTCATTTTTATGGACCTTTGGTACCCTTTTAGCTTCTTGAAGAGTTGGGGTTAATGACTTTTTCGGATTAAGGGCTTAATGGTTAAGACATTATGGATTTTGGCTTTATTTGGACCTAGGGTTTGAGATCTTGATCTCTTTGGGTGTCTGAATGGATAAAGTTGGAAACTTTATTCATTTAGACCATAGTTTGGAACAGATTTGAGCTTTGGAGCTCTTGGAATCGAGGAAGGCAGCTTAATCCATTAAGTTGTTGGAAAGCCAGTGCCCACGGTGTGGCCATAGGTCGCCACGACATGACGACTTGGAATTTCCCGTAAGTTGGATGGGTGAAGGCCACGGCATTGCGGTCAGCTAAAGTCAACTCTGACCATTGACTTTTGTTATGGGTTGACTTTTTGGCCAATCTCTATTTTTTTGGAAGTTTTAGGGTTTGCCTTGTGCGGATTGGCAGGAGGTGTTTTGCACCAATCTTTTGGCAGGAGAGCAGTTAGCTGTGGTCGACACGGTTTTGAGCTGAGTGTTATTCAGTTTTGCGATTCAGGTGAGTCTCCACACTGTACCCGTGGGTCGAAAGCACCAATGTCGGCCTACTAGGATCTGTTATGCTAGTTATCTTTGTAACTCTTGCATGGTATGTTGGGCTAGGACCTCAGTATGATGGGCTAGGCCCATTTGTATGTTGGGTTAGGCTCATGGACCAGGAAGGGCTAGGCCCATTGTCTGTTATGTAGGGTGCTACCTGTCTCTGTGACTCTTGCATTTGTATGTCGGGCTGGCCCCGTTGATTTGGAAGGGATAGGCCCATTATGATGGGTTGGGCCCAATGTGCGGGCTAGGCCCAATGGTATGTATGGTATGTGGTATTTTGGGGAAATCGCTAAGCTTTATGCTTACGGTTTTTATGGTTATGGTTTCAGGTACTTCCAGTTCAAAAGGGAAGCGTTCGACTTGAAAGTAACGCATCCACCCATGTTTCCGCAACTATATGATTTTGGGATTGTACTCTGATAACTGTTTTTATTCTGAAATACTTTTGAATGATTGGAAAAAAAGGATAATTGGTGTTTCTGGTTGAATTAAAAGTAAACTTTTTATCTTATAATTTTTGGGACCTTACATGGGGTCTCTTTGAGGTTTGCTATGCTAGATCCGATGTTTGGATGAGTTTTGTTTCCTTGCAAGAATTTTTGACCTTATTTTCACAATTATTGACCTAACCAAGCCAAGACATGCAGTGAACATGTATGTCCATAAAGCAAAGGTTTTTATGAAGCTTATGGACATTTGGAATTATTTTGGAAGAGAAGAGTGTGTGGCTTAATGGGTTATGGGCTTAATCCATTAAGTGGTTTCTGGACAGTTCCCACGACGTGGCAACTTGCTTACCACGTGGTGGCGAGTGGATTCTTCACGACTATTTTGTTGAGGGATTTCCACATCGTGGAAGGTGCATAATCACGACTTGGTGATCATCTGTGTTGACATTTGGCTGTTAACTTTGACCGTTGACCGTTGACTTTTGACCAGTTTGAATTTTGCTCAAACTTTGTGAGGTGTTGAGCTATAATCTGAGGTTTAGCTTGTGATTGGTTTGGGAGGTTCGTGTAACTGATTCTTTGAGATTTTGAGTAGTGGATTTTAGCTCTTCATTTAAGTGAATCTTCTCACTGTATTACCTATGCCATAGTGGTGTGCATTCTAGACTAACTGAGTCTTATTTGATTATTATTGTTATGTGTATTATTAGGGTGTTGATAACCCACATGGTTGCTGATAACCCATAGGGCTGTTGTGATCCCATAGGACTGCTGATAGTCCTTGAAGTGCTGAATTATACCTACTAGTTTTAAATTAATAAACCTAACAAACTCAACTAATTAATAAACCTAATAGTAAAGTAAGTCGGGTGTCGATCACATGGAACGGTATTTCAATTAATAAAATAACTACTAAAATTTAAAGAAAGAAAAACAACTAGATTTGAGGGATTTTTATCTGATGTCACAAGTTTAGATGAACTTCATTACTCAAACAACTAAAAACCAAGCAAGGAAATGACTAAAGACGATTGTAAACCATGATAATTAAAACACTTTCGATTAGCTTTGAATCACGCCTTTTTTCAAGGTTAGTTTCAAGACATGGATTATCTTCAGTTGGTTACTAATATAAATATTATTAGAAGACTTTGTCCGATCTCTTAATGTTTTCACCAATTTTATGGACTAATATACAATGGTCTTACACAAGTGACACTAAATTGATTATGAAGTTTATTAGGGTATATATGATAAATCTAAGATTAATTATCTATGATCTAGACAAATAACCAAAACACAAATTATGATCTAATTATGTGCTCTGGCACAGTTAAAGCAACTATCCTTAATTATTTATTACTAATCTACGATTTGGCCAATCACTAGCTCCAACAATTTAAGATTCAATTACGCAATTTTTAACACACTATGCATTGACATATCAAACACAAGCTAAACCAACTTTAATAAATCTATAAAAAGAGAAACTAACACATACTATTAGGTTTCATCATTACTAAACGAAAGTCTAAAGATTTAGCTCATGATTGTAGAAGAAAAACACATAAACACATAGGAAACGAAGCTAGACATGACTAAATCTAAGCAAACCGAATAAATGATGTGAAATCTTGCTCCAGTATCATAATATCTTGGTCTCCAATCTTCTTCTGACTTCGAAGGGTTATTTTTCGCTCTTCAATCGAAGCTCTCTGCTCCCATAAGTCTTTTCTTTCGATGTAATGATCGAATTATATAGTTTCCAAAATATGGTCTCAACAATGTGGAAAATAGGAGCAACATCATGGGAGTCATGTATATCTCGTATGCGCCAAGGAAATTGTCCATGTTCGTAGAGGAATCTTGGTCTGACACGTGGTCACGAAGGGAATGGTATTGCGTCACATCGTGAATATGGATTAATGCAGGAATCGAGAATCTTCTGAATTCCACATTGTGGGAATCAAGTGTCCACTTCGTGGGAACTTCTTTTTTCATGATTTCTTCATCTTTCATCTTCTCGTTTCACCACCAGTCCTCCAACTATCTAGTTCTTGTCAATTTCAGCTCCTTTTCCTTGAGAATGTCCTTTTTGGCTACAAAATATAATTGAACATTATAAGTACCAAATATCTATGTATTTCACCAAAATATAGCTTCAATGTATTAAAATAATGCCTAAATATTTGTATAAATATGACAAAATCCAAATACCCCACACTTGCCTTTTGCTTTCCCTCAAGCAAAACTTATTTTAATACATCACATATAACTTTGCCCACCAATATCACGCAAAACAATCCGAATTAAACTCACTAATTACACATCACCTCAATGCATGTATTTGTGTCTATAATATCCTAACTACTTCCCAAGCCCTAAATATTCACAATCTCATAAATATT